ATTGTTAAGCATACAGTAGCTACAATGCTAATTAATGTTTATTATTCAGAGACATTATCTACTACCACAAAAACATCTAATTTATCAATTCCATTTTAAATGATTTTGAAAAATCACACACCGAAAGCAAGCCCCTTAAAGTCAGTGATTCCCAGAACCTAAAGAATGACTTTCCCAGATTCTTGATACAAGAATTAAATGCTTAGATTTCTTAGGAACATGGTTACCTCCACAAACACACACTCTTAGTTTTTTGTCTGGCATGCCAAAGACCTCCAGGAGGTTTTAAGTGAACTGATTTGCATGCAGTAGCCCAGTATGAAAGGAATAGTTTTTATTTTTATTGATCACAACTATCAAAGGCACAAGAAGGAGACTATAAAAAAATATAACTACCTTCTAAGAATCTAATAGGGAAGGAGAGGCTACGTTGTGTGTATCTGAAGTTAAACATACTCAAAAAAAGAGAGGTAATAAACTCTTCTTCAGATCCACACTCGTGGTGATTAATGAGCAGAACCTGCATGAAAAAACAAAACAAAACAAAAGCCACTTAAATCTAGTAAGATGGGACTGAACCAGAGGTTAAACTAGGAACTTTGAAGTTCAAAATAAGTACAGAAGGAATGAGCTTAACTAGTTGTTCCATTTGTCTTACCCCACCAACTTTACATAAAAAGGCCTTTCCAAAAGCAATTTGTATTTCTACTTTTTAAAAAAAATGTTCTTTTTTTTTCTGATTCGTTTTCTTCTAAGAATGCAAAAGCTCAATGAAACCAAGAAAAAGACAACTAAATTTTTTTTATATACTATGGCAAGTCTGAAAGAATGATGGAATCTAGAATCGTTTTTTTTTTTTGTAGGGGGGGGAAGAATCATAGTTGGGGACAAAAAATTTAGTAACAATCTTGATATATGTAACAATTTAGATTAAAATACTAAAAGCCAGAATTTGTTTACAAAATAAGAACATCCAAAAGTAAAAATCAGATGATTAAAATTACTTATGATTGATAAAATGCTCAAGATTTGCAAAGAAGCAGAAACAATAATCAGATGTTCTTTCAGGAACAGGAATCATACAGATCGAATATAGATATAATTTTAAGATATAAAAAAACACCTCTTTAAAAAGACATTTATATTAACAATGTTGCTTTTAGAAAAAGCTTTTAAATGAACCTATTTTCCACAAAAAGAAACTAGCAACTTTAAAAAATTAAACTATAAATTCAATGAAGACCTAGATATTTAAGAAACTTCAAATTATAAGAAAGTCATCCTTCCTGAGGTAAAATATCTAAAGACAATTCAATAAATATTTTCTTAAGAATTGTCTTTAAAAACAATACTATTCTCATGTCTTAATATTACACACTGTAATATTGTACAAATTACTTTGCTTAACTATTTTAGTATAAAACTTCCTCAAAAAAATATGCATGTTCAATGTGGAAAACTATCACACTGAATTTTATATAATTTTATGTTTTAAATATGATTCTATTCATTCCATGTACTAAATAAAAGAAGCAGGAACTGTGAGAGGCAGAATTACTATTGCTTAAGCTTCATTTAATGTTTGTGAAGATGGTATATTTTAGTGAAAACTTTTTAATAGTTTCAGAGTAACAGGGTTAGATCCTGTTGCTAGTTACTAGATGTATAGCCTTGGGTAAATCACTGGAACTCTGATTCTGTTTTCTAATCTAAGCATTCTATAAAATAGCTGTTATCAGACGGTTGCATTAAAGATAACTGTTCACAAGAGTCAATGACTCTTATTAACTTCCATTCTGGTACATCAAACTAAGAACAATGCAACTAGTCTAACAAAATGCAATCAGTAAATATCCCCAATGTTTAAATTCAAATCACGAGCAAAGCAAATATGAAAGAACCAAGTTGGCTAATGTCTGTCAAATACTATACTCAAGATATTTATGTGCCTCAACTGCAGTTAATACTTTGCTGATCTCAATAACCATAATTCTCCTGAATTTAGAGAATTCAGAAGAGTGGAAGTCTGTCTGCTGCCCGAAATGGAGGCACAGGTGGAATGTGTAGGGAAGGATACATGCAATTTAGAGGAATAACTGAACAGCCACAACTGTTTTGCAAAGATGTAAATTCCAATGCAGTTAAGTACATTCCCTCCTCTCGCCGTTAACTTTTAAGGTGTTACATATAATCCTCTGCTAACAGTATTTCCAAAACCTAAATTTTCTAAATTCATTCATCTGACAACTGAAAAGTAAAAAGCTCTACGTTTCTGATTCATATTTCTCATGAGAAGGTGAGGGTTTACTGTTTGTTTTAATGGTGCTGGAGATCAAATCCAGCACGATAGGCAAGCACTCTATCTTTGAACTATATACCCAGCAACCCCTTAATTTACATTTCTTTCTTTTCTTTTTGGGGGGATTGGGGTATACTGGGGTTTGAACCCAAAGGCATCTGACCACTGAACTATATCCCCAACCCTTTTTACTTTTTGAGACAAGTTCTCACTAAGTGACTTAAGGTTATCACTAAGTTGCTGAGGCTGGCCTCGAACTTGCAATCCTCCCATCTCAACCTCCTGAGTTGCTGGGATTACAGGCATGTGCCACCATGTCCAGCCTAATTTGTATTTTTAACAGAAATCAATGATATAATGATATTCTTTCCACCCTGTTGTAGTGACTCTAAATTTCAGAGCCTCAAAAGAGAAGTGATTTCTCCTTTTTTTCCAACAAAAAAAGATCACAAATGATGGAGCTAGGGTTGCAGTTCAGTGCTAAACTGCTTGCCTAGCATGAGTGAGGCACTGTGTTTGATTCTCAGCAGCTCATAAAAACGAATAAATAAAATAAAGGTTAAATTCTTTAAAAAATCATAAACGAAAACAACATATATTGGGTGGTGAATACAACTATCAAAATTCAACCAAACACTTAAGATCAGTGCATTTAATTGTGTGTAAATTATACCTCAATTTTAAAAGTTCCTACCAATCACCTTCATAAAGGCTGACTGAAACTACATATTTGAAAGAACACCCAGAAGTAAAAGTTACACAAACTTAAAAGAAAAAACAAAGTCAACAAATACTGCAAGGGAAGATAAAAGAAAGTGATTGAAGGAAAAACCCTTAGATTAGATTAAGAAAGACCGAGGGTAGGGAATGACTTAAGGGACATATTGACCAATGCAATATTACTTTTAACAAACAATATAAAAAAATTGAGATATTTGTGAAGTTTTTAATTTTTAACCCCAATAGAATACTTGATATTAAGGAGTAAGTTCACTAAAGCTTCTCTATGTTTAACAAAGAAAGAATGATCTTCATTAAGTAAAAATATCTAACAAACCGGATGCCTTGGTGCATGCCTGTAATCCCAGCAGCTCCAGAAGCCGAGGCTGGAGGATCAGGAGTTCAAAGACAGCCTCAGCAATTTAGTGAAGCTGGGCTGGGGGTGTGGCTCAGTGGTTTCACTCACATGCAGTCCGAGAGAGACACACACACACACACACACACACACACACACACACACACACGGGGGGGGGGGAGGAGAGAGAGAGGGAGAGAGAGAGAGAGAGAGAGAAAGTGAGGAGGGAGGAAGATAGATATAACTAACAAAATGATAACATGATGCCTGGGTTTACTTCAAAACAACTGGGAAGGCTGGAAGATAAAAAGATCATACATGAACTGAAATTGTTGAAGGTGGCTGGGTGAAAGGTACTGGAGGTTCATTACTCTGTGGGCAGGGGCAGAGAGATTGATTAATTTGAACTTATTTTTAATAATTCAAATCACCTATTGCCAAAGACCAAGGTGTGCTCAGGTACCATTTATTTGGAAAAGAAAAATACATGTAAAATTATCTGATCAGTAAAGTAGTTATCTAGGGCTGGGAAAAGTAGTGACTCTCAAGAGGAGCACAAAAGTGGCCTTAGGGAGGCTGGGATTGTGGTTCAGCGGCGGAGCGCTTGCCTTGCACGTGAGAGGACCTGGGTTCAATCCTCAGCACCACATTAAAAAATAAATAAACAAAATAAAGGTATTGTGTCCATCTACAACTACAATATATATTTTTAAATATATATGTAAGTGGCTTTAGAGTTAAACAGTATACTTTTTTTTAAATTTTAAGTTTCTATGGTATTGAGGCACTCTACCACTGAGCTATACTCCCAGGTCTTTTTTATTTTGAGAACAGGATCTCACTAAGTTGCCAGGGCTGACCTCAAACCTGTAGTCTTTCCACCTCAGCCTTTTGAATAGGTGGGATTACAGGTGTGCACGACTGCACACCTGTAAAATCTTTTAAAAATGAAATGAAATTAAAATGAATTCATTAAAAACAGAATCACATGCTGTTTGACAACACCCCAGACAGAAGGCATACACTGCAGAAAATCTGTATAGTAAATTAAAATTATAAACGTTTGAAATAACTATTGAAATGAATTTTATTTATTTGCTTGCTTGCTTATTTGTTTGTGTACTGGAGATTTAAAACAGGCATGCTTAGCCAATAAACTACATCCCCAGCCCTTTTTGGTTTTTATAGTGAGACAGGGTCTCACTAACTTGCTTAGGCCTCACTAAGTTGCTGAGGCTAGTTTGGACTTGAAATCCTCCTGCCTCAGCCTTCCAAGTTGCTGGGATTACAGGTATACCACTGTGCCTGGCAAAATGATTTTTAAAAAAATATTTATTCTAAACTTTTATGTGGACACAATATTTTTATTCTACATTTATGTGGTGCTGAGAACTGAACTCAGTGCTTCTTGCATGCTAGGTGAGCACTCTACCACTGAGCCACAATCCCAGCCCCTGGCAAATCAATTTTGAATGTAAATACTCATTAACAAATATTTCAAGTCACCAAAAATATAAACAGAGTGATCTGAATTATGGTAGAGTGGTTTAATTCCCCCACCCCTTTAGCTTATCTGTATTTCCTATTTTCCATCTTTAAAAAAAATAGTACGATAAAAATGTTAAAATGCTTGACTAGCTCAAAAAGCTAATTTTTACTCCCTCAGCCTCCGCCATGGCGAGTGGCAGCGGCACCCGGTCGAGTGGCAGCGGCACCGGGTCGTCGGCGACCGCGGCGACAAATCTGAATGCAGAGAAGGAGACCATGGATGTTCTGCTTGAGATTTCAAGAATTTTGAATACTGGCTTAGATATGGAAACACTGTCTATTTGTGTACGGCTTTGTGAACAAGGAATTAACCCAGAAGCTTTATCATCTGTTATTAAGGAACTCTGCAAGGCTACTGAAGCACTAAAGGCTGCTGAAAATATGACAAGCTGACTTTCTGGAGAGATCCTGATGAGATATGTCAAATTCCTCAAGAGGATTTAAAGATTGCATTTTAGTCAAGAATGTACAGTGAAATTACTGCATGCAGCAGTGTAGAAAAATTTTCCTTTTAAAAAGAATTATAAAACCATAGCTTTATAAATCAGTGGAAAGTGGCTTACAGAGAGAACTATCAAATGTGTTTGCATCGCATCTTTTTTTTTTTTAATGGCCCTAATGTTTTGGCATTGCTATGTTTATATTTATGTATTCCTTATTTATAGCTCTGATAGCTTTAATTTTCTTTTTTTTTCTTTTTTGCATTTTATTTTTTTTTATTTTATTTTATTTTTTAAATTTTTTTTATTGGTTGTTCAAAACATTATAAAGCTCTTGACATATCATATTTCATACATTAGATTCAAGTTGGTTATGAACTCCCAATTTTACCCCAAATACAGATTGCAGAATCACATCGGTTACACATCCACATTTTTACATAATGCCCTATTAGTAACTGTTGTATTCTGCTACCTTTCCTATCCTCTACCATCCCCCCTCCCTCCCCTCCCATCTTCTCTCTCTACCCCATCCACTGTAATTCATATCTCTCCTTGTTTATTTTCCCATTCCCCTCACAACCTCTTATATGTAATTTTGTATAACAATGAGGGTCTCCCTCCATTACCATGCAATTTCCCTTTTCTCTCCCTTTCCATCCCACCTCATGTATCTGTTTAATGTTAATCTTTTCTTCCTGCTCTTCCTCCCTGCTCTGTTCTTAGTTGCTCTCATTATATCAAAGAAGACATTTGGTATTTGTTTTTTAGGGATTGGCTAGCTTCACTAAGCATAATCTGCTCTAGTGCCATCCATTTCCCTGCAAATTCCATGATTTTGTCATTTTTTAGTGCTGCGTAATACTCCATGGTGTATAAATGCCACATTTTTTTTATCCATTCATCTATTGAAGGGCATCTGGGTTGGTTCCACAGTCTAGCAATTGTGAATTGTGCTGCTATGAACATCGATGTAGCAGTATCCCTGTAGTACGCTCTTTTAAGGTCTTCAGGGAAAAGTCCAAGAAGGGCAATAGCTGGGTCAAATGGTGGTTCCATTCCCAGCTTTCCCAGGAGTCTCCATACTGTTTTCCAGATTGGCCGCACCAGTTTGCAGTCCCACCAGCAATGTACAAGAGTACCCTTTTCCCCACATCCTCTCCAGCACTTGTTGTTGTTTGACTTCATAATGGCTGCCAATCTTACTGGAGTGAGATGGTATCTTAGGGTGGTTTTGATTTGCATTTCTCTGACTGCTAGAGATGGTGAGCATTTTTTCATGTACTTGTTGATTGATTGTATGTCCTCCTCTGAGAAGTGTCTGTTCAGGTCTTTGGCCCATTTGTTGATTGGGTTATTTGTTTTCTTATTGTTTAATTTTTTGAGTTCTTTGTATACTCTGGATATTAGGGCTCTATCTGAAGTGTGAGGAGTAAAAATTTGTTCCCATGATGTAGGCTCCCTATTTACCTCTTTTATTGTTTCTCTTGCTGAGAGAAAACTTTTCAGTTTAAGTAAGTCCCATTTGTTGATTTTTGTTATCAACTTTTGTGCTATGGGTGTCCTATTAAGGAATGTGGAGCCCGACCCTACAATATGTAGATCGGAGCCAACTTTTTCTTCTATCAGACGCAGAGTCTCTGATTTGATATCTAGCTCCTTGATCCACTTTGAGTTAACTTTTGTGCATGGCGAGAGGAGGGGATTCAGTTTCATTTTGTTGCATATGGATTTCCAGTTTTCCCAGCACCATTTGTTGAAGATGCTATCCTCCCTCCATTGCATGCTTTTAACTCCTTTATCAAATATAAGATAGTTGTAGCTTTGTGGATTAGTCTCTGTGTCCTCTATTCTGTACCATTGGTCCACCCTCCTGTTTTGGTACCAGTACCATGCTGTCTAAGCAGTCTGTCTATCAGATGTGCACATCTGCTGTGCCTGGTGGAAGTATAGTGGAACCCATCAGTATTGATGTGTCATAGTTATGACTTGTTGACATTTCCATTATAAACTTTAATTTTGAATTGTTTATGCATAATAACTGTTGATTTATGTTGTATCAGGCTGAAAGTTGACAAGATTTTAGCCACCACGTAAGAATTTGTATTTAAATTCCCCATGTATACCAGAATCTTGTTTTTTAAAATGAGAACATAGAAAACATTTCTTGTAATCTTCTCTTTAACAAAGAATATTTAGTTTTTTAAACAGGTTTTGGGCAGTTAATAGTGTGAATTAGATCATTTTGTATTTACTGAAAAATAAAACTTCTAGAAACTTAGATTTTAAAAGTAATAACAGTGCTTAGCTTAGTATTGTTTGTAGTTTGAGGCATTTACATCAAATAAGAATATTAGTTGAATGTTTTTCTAAGTTTTATATCCTATAAAGGCCTAAAAATAATGTATAAAGTGAAACATAGCCAACATGCAAAATTCCTTTTTACTTTTATTACATAAAAGTAATTGGAATTCTTATCTAATAAATATGATGTAGATATATAATAAATCACTAGATAAGTGGTGTGTTTCAATGAATATGTAATATTTTCTGAAGAAATAAGGATTTCTAGTCATTAAACAAAAACTAATGAAATGTGTATCAGGAATTATAAGTTTGCCTTTCTAAAATCATTTAGTGTGTCATTATTTACCCTTAAAGTTTTAACTCATCAAAATGATAATTCAAAAATAAATTTTAGAAAATTTAGGATGTTATTGGTTCTGTTTCTGTAACAGAATCTCAGTGGAATTTTTTTGCAAGGCTAATATGGATTTAATTTCATTGTTGACTAAATTTTAGATTTTTGTCAGATACCTTTTAAATGAATGGTATTCATTCTTCACTAATGTTTTTATTGTTCATTCAAGCTGAAGTGGTTTTTATAAGATTTAGTGATATTTAGATAGCCACTTTCTCTGCTTTTTTTTTTTTTTTTTTATATTTATTTGACCATTATGACTTTTAATTCATGGCATCTTTACCAGTAAACTGAAAAGGTCTATTAGCAGAACAAGTTAGGAGACAATAAGAATTTGTGATAAGCATTTGAATGAAACTAAACATGTTATTTATAAATCAAAGAGAACATTTATTCTCAACTCCAAAATGTGTATGCAGTTCTAGGCCATAAAAGTTGATAATATAGATTAAGTTATTTACGTATGAAGCAAAATAGGAAAAAATACTGAGAAAGGATTATGTTTACAGAGGCCTTCTTATCTGTCATATTTCTTAAATGTTTTTTGGTGATACTGGGGATTGAACCCTGATGCATTCCACTAAATCACATCCCCAACCCTTTTTATTTATATATATTTATTTGAGACTGGGTCTGGTGATATTGTTCAGGCTGACCTTGAACTTGTGATCTTCTTGCCTCAGCCTCCCAGATAGTTGGGATTAGGTGTGTGTCACTGCTGCTGGCTTTAAATGTATTAGTATCTTTTTAATGCATACTTCAGTAATATTTAAGAAATAAAATAAAATTATACAATTCCAATGCTGTACATGTTGACAATGACAAAAATAAAACCATATTGGTAGTATTGGCATGTACTTTTGATTTAATACATCTTTTAATGAATTCAATTGTATTTCTTTAGGTGGTCATTTTATAGATGTTAAGATGCTTATCATGTATGATTGAAGGCTACTTAAAGACAGGTTATGTAATTTACAGCTTAAATTAGGCTTGAAGTATAAATGGAATACTCTTCCCCTGGTAGTGAGAGAAGATAGCTATATTAACGTTGCCTCAGGCTTTAAAACAAAGTTGGCAATTCAAATAAATGAGAAATGATATTTTTCTATACTCAAATAATAACTTTTTTACAAAGTGGATCATTATCATTGTGAAATGTATAGACATGTTCCAAATATGCATGTTTTATAATAATTGAGTCAAATACCAGTTTTTAAATATTTAATTAAAATTAAAAATTAAAAAAAAAAGCTATTTTTAAATGAATGTTTTGAAATTTTTTTTAGCAAATAATCTTGTGTTAATACTGATGAAAGTTTTTTTGTAGCCATTATGACCATATTGACATTAAAAGTGTTGAAAAAGTTTAGATGTGCTGCACATGATAATGCACACCTGTAATCCGAGACTTGCGAAGCTGAGGCAGGAACATATTAAGTTCAAGGCCATCCTGGGCAACTTAGCAAAGCCTGGTTTCAAAATTAAAAATTAAAAGGATTGGGGATATAGCTCAGTGGTAAAACACTCCTGATTTCAATCTCCAGTATCCAACCCCCCATCTCCCCCTGCCCGTTTTAGATACTACTATTAGACTTTAAGTGACAAATACATGGAGAATTTCAGTTAGTTCAGGAACTATGTTAACCACCTACCACAAGGGTAGTTCATATGTGATCCAAGTAGTACAGCACAGTGGTAAAAGGATGTTAAAAATCAGAAAGCACTAGATTTGATTCAAGGTGTGGTCTTGGGCAAATAACTTCTCTAAATTTTGGTTTTCTCACCTAGAAAATGGTAGAATCACCACAACACAATAGCTAAACAAGGAAACATTATACTATTGAGCACAGTGCCTAGCACAGTAATATGCCCCCAATAAATAACAATTCCCATCATCATTATAGTGACTAAGTTTTTTTCTTGTAAGTTTTTAAATCTTGGATACCCTCAGACCTTACAAGGTCATTTATGAACAGTTACCTTGGCCTGGTATGCCTTTGCTCTATACCCTTATGAGTTCAAGGGACTTCTACTTATCCTTTCTGACTCTACTCAGATGTTAATCTGATTTTTCCAATCTCTATCATATATCTTTGCTCTATATTTATACGGTACATTCTGATACTCTGGTATTTTCCATATTATTTCAACAATCTACTTAACTATCCTTTTGCACTGATCTGTGAATTTACATATTATCTTTTGAATAATAATAATTTTTAGGAAAAATATCTATGATCCTGGAGCACAGAAAGAAGTTAAA